ACTGTCCACTAAACCTTGCAAATTTTTTTTTAGAATCTCCCCTAAGCACAAATCTCAGCAATTTTAATTTTGTCAATCCTATTTTGTATTTGATTCCCCCTAATTTTAATCCCCCCCCTCTCCCCAACACCCCAACATCGCTTTTTCTCAAACCCCTCAATAATATATTAACCTTAAAATGTCCCAAACAGATCTCGTTCACATGTGTGGTGGGCAAAAGTAGATGTATGTTTTCTTTAATATTTTCAAAAATTTAAAAAAAAAAAAAAAAGTAGATCAAGTTTTTTACACTTTTTTTTAAATGAAAAAAAGAAAAGAAGATCTACTTTTTTTACATACCTTCAATGTTAAAAAGCGTAGATCTACGTTTGTACATTTAAGGGTTTTAAAAAACCTGGGGGCTTTCACATCTCTGCCAGGGACCTAATTTTACCGGGAAGGTAATTCCCCCTCCCTACAAAACCAACTTTAACCCCATTTTACTCTATTATTTTTTTTTTTAATCGGGGGGCCCTCTACTGCCCGTACGGGTTTTACAAAGAAAACACATACCCAAACCCCCCCTTTTTTAAAAGCAGGCACTGATTTCCCCCTTTCCAGGGTCAAAATCTGGCTAATAAACATAATCGATTTCCTGAAAACCCTTCACTAAATTTACCCTGCTCACACTCCAAGAGCCTCAGTCCCCAAAAACTATTTGTCCCATTTACTTTTTACGAAACACCCGCATGGTTTCTGGAAATCCAAGCCCCCGCCCCGAAAACCCCTTTACCCCTTCCTTCCAACCCTTTTTTGGGAGACCCCTACCCCGCCTTCCCTTCCCTACAGATTTATCACTCTCCCGTCTTTCTACTTTGATCCATTCCTCTGAATGACCCAAACCCCCTCAAAAACCCTTTTCAGCCCTCTGACAATATTTTCATTAACTCCACCCTTCTCCTTATTTCCCCACTCCCAATTTCTGCATAATATTTTTACCACACATTTCCCTTTAAAGGCATCACTGCCTCCAACGGTCTCCTCACTGCAGCATTTTTAAAACCCCAAGCTTCACACCCATATAAAAAGGGGTTTTGGGACTCTATACTTTTTATACTTCCTTTCTTTGCCTTTATAGAAATACATGCTCTCTGCCAATCCCTAGGTACCTTCCCTTTTCATACATTAAACAAAAATACCAACCACTCTAACACTATATCACCCCCTGCTTTTAACCCTTTGACTGTCGAAGGGCCAAATCCTGAAGTTGCTTCTGGTGTCGCAAAATATTCGAAAAAAAAAATTATTTTTTCTTATGAAATGATAGAGAATCTTTTCCCGATTGTAAAGACACCAAAAAAACGAAATTTGATGGAAAACTGACGGAATTACGCTCTCGCGAAGTTAGCGACTTCGGCGATATTTAAAAATCGGCAATTTCGCCCACTTTGAGCCCTATTTTCGGCTAATTCCGTTATTCCAGTCAACCAAACTCATAACTATTTCTTCAGAACTCTATTTTTTCTATCGATTGAGTACAAGAAACTGCCCATTTACCGATTTCAACTACCCAATAACATGGTCAGAAATTTGCAATTTGGCCAATTTCACGAAAATTAAAAAATACGACAATTTCAAAATAAGGTCCAGAATGAACAATGCAGACATTCCTGGCTCTAAAATAACATTTTCTTTGTTCATCAGTCATGTCTCCAGGTCCCTGTGATATTACTCTTGCTTTTTATTTTGAAATTTTATTCAAACAAAAAATAGAAGATTTACTGTTATGCAGACTACTGCAATACTGTAATAATTGTAAAAATTACATCAACCCATTCATGACTGCGTATTAGAATGGCTATTTGGACATTTATTGGACAATGACATCATTTGTTCACTTTTGAACATCGGCAAAAATCAAACATTTCCTGTACTTTGTGCTCCATTTCCAGGTTCTTTTTATAGTAAAATTAATCAAATCACCTCCATTTCTATAATATAGTTTCCATTCTATCAAATGAGACCAAGAAAACGAGAATACAACCACAAATACTATACGAAAATAGACCACAAAGTCGGCATTTTAATTAAAAAAAACGGTCGGAGTTTTTTTTTTCTCATTATGCACTGCGTGCTCCAGGATTTTTTTTATGTGGTGCACACTGACCACACAGACCCATTCTCTCACATGTGGGCCTACTAGCTTTCTCCTGCCTGATTTGAAGCCGCTAGAATTTATGAGTATATATACGTCAAACACGGTACCTCGCAAACGTATATATACGGCCGCGACAGTCAAAGGGTTAACATTTATGTCATGAGCCCGTCAGTTCCAGCTGCTTTACCCCCTTTTCATTCTACGTAATGCCTCACACACCTCCCCCACACTCACATCCTGCACTTCTTCACTCCTAAAAGATGGAATTCCTCCTTGGCCAATGCATGAAATTACCACCTCCCTTTCTTCGTCGACATTTGAAAGTTCCTCAACACATTCCCGCCATCTACCCAATACCTCCATCTCCCCATCTACTAACTCCTCTACTCTGTTTTTTACTGACAAATCCATTTGTTTCCCAGGCTTTCTTAACTTGTTTAACTCACTCCAAAATTTTTTCTTATTTTCATTAAAATTTCAGTGCCTCTAGCACTCTATCATCTGCTCTCCTTTTGCACTCTCTTCACCTTTCTTTTACTCTCCATATACTGTGCTCTTCTTATAACACTTCTGCTTTGTAAAAACCTCTCATACGCTACCTTTTTCTCTTTTATCACACCCTTTACTTCATCATTCCACCAATCACTACTCTTTCCTACTGCACCCACCCTCGTATAACCACAAACCTCTGCCCCACATTCTAATACTGCATTTTTTAAACTATTCCAACCCTCCTCAGCCCCCCCACTACTCATACTTGCACCAGCCCACCTTTCTGTCAATAGTTGCTTATATCTCACCCAAACTTCCTCCTCCCTTAGTTCATACACTTTCACCTCTCTCTTACTTCATGTTGCCATTTTCCTCTTGCCCTATCTACCTCTTACTCTAACTGTAGCTACAACTAAATAATGATCCGATATATCAGTTGCCCCTCTATAAACATGTACATCCTGGAGCCTACCCATTAACCTTTTATCCACCAATACATAATCTAACAAACTACTTTCATTACATGCTACATCATACCTTGTATATTTAATCCTCTTTTTCATAAAATATGTATTACTTATTATCAAACCTCTTTCTACACATAGCTCAATTAAAGGCTCCCCATTTTCATTTACCCCTGGCACCCCAAATTTACCTACTACACCCTCCACAACATTTTTACCCACTTTAGCATTGAAATCTCCAACCACAAATACTCTCACACTTGGTTCAAAACTCCCCAAGCATTCACTCAACATTTCCCAAAATCTCTCTCTCTCCTCTACACTACTCTCTTCTCCAGGTGCATATACGCTTACTATAACCCACTTTTCACATCCAACCTTTATTTTACTCCACATAATCCTTGAATTAATACATTTATACTTCCTCTTTTCCTGCCATTGCTTATCCTTCAGTTCTAACTCTATTTGAAACCCCTGACCTAATCCCATTTATTTCTCACCACTGAAACTCTCCCACCCCCTTCAGCTTGGTTTCACCTAACGCCAGGACATCCAGCTTCTTGTCATTCATAACATCCACAATCATCTCTTTCTTATCATTTGCACAACATCCACGCACATTCAGACATCCCACTTTGACAATTTTCTTCTTATTCTTTTTGGTAATCATTACAGGAAAAGGGGTTACTAGCCCACTGTTCCCGGCATTTTAGTTGAATTTTACAACACGCATATGTATTTATGGTACACAAATAACCTGCACATAAAAGAGAGAAGCTTACGACGATGTTTCGGTCTGACTTGGACCATTTACAAAGTCACACTAACCAGAAGTGGAGCAGGACGGCTATATACAGGCAGGAAGAGGTGGTGGTAGTAGTAGCAGTAGTACAAGAATGGTATATAATACCGAAAAGTTGAAATTAAGACACATGCGCAACACCCGGGCACCCCTATCGTAGACGTTTCGCCATCCAGCCAGCCACTGGATGGCGAAACGTCCACGACAAAGACAACCAGACGCCGCATATTTGTCTTAATTTCATCAGTAGTAGTAGTAGTAGTAGTAGAAGAGGTAGTAGTTGTGGTAGTGTTAGAAGTGGGGAATAAGGAGGATGAGCCAGTCAAATACAAAGGAAGAGGAGCACTACCACTACTACTACCTCTTCTACTACTACTACTACTGATGAAATTAAGACAAATGTGCAGCGTCTGGTTGTCTTTGTTGTGGACGTTTCGCCATCCAGTGGCTGGCTGGATGGCGAAACGTCTACAATAGGGATGCCCGGGTGTTGCGCATGTGTCTTAATTTCATCTTGTCAGTATTATATACCATTCTTGTACTACTGCTACTACTACCACCACCTCTTCCTGCCTGTATATAGCCGTCCTGCTCCACTTCTGGTTAGTGTGACTTTGTAAATGGTCCAAGTCAGACCGAAACGTCGTCGTAAGCTTCTCTCTTTTATGTGCGGGTTATTTGTGTATCGTTCCAATCACGGCATTGTGCCTTTTTTGTTATTTATATTTATGGTGTTTTAATCTTTAATCAAGGCTTTTTTCCAGTCAACATAGAAATACCTCATTTCAGTATTTGTGTTTTTTCCAAGTCAATACAAATCATTTTTTATAATGTTTAGTCTGACAGCAGCCTACCCACTTAATAAAGATATTAAAACTAAAGTAAAAATAGCTGCATCTATTAACACCATGAAAATTAATTATTTTATTTTACATTAAAATCTAAGAAAAATTCAGAATCTTGCAGACATAACATTTTCTAGCGTAAGTATGCAGTATATTTTGTCTGATTACCATTATGAATATAATATTACCATATAATTACACTGAAAATTACTTTCTATATAAAACTTAAATTAGCACAGCTGATTTGTTATCAGTAATACCTGAGTGGACTGATGTCATCGAAGTCCATTCTATTGCGATCAGCTTTCATCATCTCTATGAACATGTTGAAAGAACCTCTTTCATTGTAGAATACTAACACATCTTCGCCAGCACTCACCAGCTTTAAAAAAGAAAAAGAAAAATCAAACACAATCTGTCAGTCTACCAGGAAACTTTTGCAGTCACAAAATTAATTAATTTTTATCTTAATTGGCTTTCTTTATGTTTGAATCAATAGGGAAACTGCTAAATTCAGTGATAAATTCCAAGAATGATAAAAGCATTACAACATGAATGCAAGCACACACATACACATGTGCTTATTTAATTACATGCAGTGCAATGATTGTCAGATTTTCACAAATACTTATCTTGAGTTGGGGTCAAACAGGTAGTATGGACTAGCTTAAAAGAAGGCTGCCAAGAATCCCTCTACTTTCCTTTGTATAAAAATCCTTAAAAATACTAAATATACTAGCCCTTCATACATATTATTCTGTGCAATATATGTAAGAGAATATTAATTGTAATCTGAGTAAGCTTTATTCCTGGAAGGCTGAATAATTTCAGAGACTGCAAGAAGGTGTTTGATGCTGTACTCCACAAGAGGATGGGCCAAAAACTTGAGATTCAGGTGGATACAGGCAAAGTATTCCAGTGGATGAAGAAGCACCTTAAGGAAAGAAAGCAAAGAGTGATTGTCAGGAAAGACATCAGACTGGGGTTCTGCAAGGTTTGGTATTGGGACCAGTACTGTTTCTGATTTATGTGAATGACATTCCAGATGCGAATGATTTAGATACATTCCTGTTTGTCAATATAAAACTATTGAGAATAAAATCAGATGAAGAAAAGGAAAGGCTCCAAAAGGGATCTGGACAAATTGCCAGAGTGGTCAGATAGATAAATGGTTGCTTGAATTCAACCCTAGTAAATGTAAAGTCATGAATTCAGATTAGGGAAGGAGCAAGAAGACAAGAAATAAGGTATAGACTAGAGGGGACAGAGGCTGCAAACTGCTCAAAGAGAAAGAACAAGGGGTAAGCATCATGCCCAACAGACCACCAGAGGCTCACATCAACCAATGAACCTCTGCAGCCAATGATTGTCTGGCAAATCTAAGAGTAACCTTCAGGAACTTCAACAGTCATTTGGGCTCTTTAAACAACATACATTAGACCAATCTTGGAGTATATAGAACTAATATGGAACTTGCACCTGAAAGAGCATGTTAAGAAACAGTAGAAAGTTCAGAAGAATGCAACAAGGCTTATTCCTGAGCTATGTCTTGGTGAGCAATTTCACCAAGACAGTCATCATGGCAAAGAGATATCAGGAATACCTGGTAATCAGATTGATGGCAAAATACTGCTGGACACTGGTGAATCATATTAAAAAAAAGCAAAGAAAAAAAAATTGTGATGTCAATATGTTTGTAAGATTGGAAATTTCTGCTATTTTTGTTACGCATATATTTAATTTACCTCCATGGGGAAGTGGAACAGAATTCTTCCTCCGTAAGCCATGCGTGTCGTAAGGGGCAACTAAAATGCCAGGAGCAAGGGGCTAGTAACCCCTTCTCCTATATATATTACTAAATTTATATAGAAAAACTTTTGTTTTTCTTTTTGAGCCACCCTGCTTCGGTGGGATACGGCCGGTGCGTTAAAAAAGAAAGATATTTAATTTACCTTCAGAAAGATTAGTTTTGTCATTGCATGTACCACACTTTACATCTATGCATAATACCTATGATTGTTAATTAACATATATCATATGGTTCTTCAACGTTAAATAGCCAAAATATTGATCACAAGATTGAAAAAAATCTTGAGCCATAGACTAAATAACCTCAGATTTGTTATCAAAGTTAGTTTTAAACAACCAATTTGATTTCTGAGCTCGATAAAAATGTTAATTTTATTGGCCAGTGTTGTTTTAGTCTGTTCTTCTCGAGACAGCTACGAATCAGCCGTTATGTTAGGACATGCCAAACAAGTATATAATCAAACCTTTCAAAATAGTTCATTACTCACTTCCTGCATAACCATATCCTGACTTCGACGAAGGAACTGTCCCTCTGCTTTGACTATGGTTTGCAGGAACTTAAGATACTGAACATGCCGGCCATGAGTCTCGATGCAATGAATGAAGTGCTGTATGACCCGCTCTGATACTTCACCACACAACTGCGAGTTATCTTTGAACACAGCACATACCGTCTTGGCTTCCAGCAGCTGTAAGAACACAGAATGCATTAATGAAGGCTTAGAACTTAGAATATATACACAAACAGTACTTTTCATTTATATGAAGCATATACTAGAAAATACATTTTTGAGATATTCAAGTGAAAATAAGAATACCCTAAAATGTGAAAGTTGTAACATTTATTATATGAAAGCTAATTCACTATTAAAAAAAATGTATTGAATATCAGTAGCTCATAAAATTATATGCACTCAAAAAAGATTTTGAAAATTATTAAAAAACATGAATGAAGCAATTACTCTTAGCCAAATAAATTAGTTATGACTCAACAAGGTCATCATTCAGATTAACTTAAATAATTCTGTTCTGCAAAGAGGAAGTGAGAGACTTCAAAATCTAACATTCATAAGAAACTCATAACACTGCATATCTATTCAGTGAGTTTCACAAAAACATTAATACAGTTCATTATTTACCCCTGGATTGAGGAAGAGATCAATACTCTTGTAGAGAAGAGCTTGATTTGGCCGATCACCAAGGCAAAAGTTTTGCAGAAACTGATGAGCTAGTTCAATCAACTCATTCATACGTTTATCTTCTTTTTTGTCATAGGGAATCTGAGAGGAGTTAAAAAGACTATGATAAAAAACATTACAAAAAGACATAAGAAGACTGAAGAATTAAGCAATGCAACAGTATTGAAAAACAAGAAATTGCTATGAATAGAAAAACCATATGAGATACAAGAATAAAAAAGGTGACAATAGGGATAATTCTTAAACACACACCTGATACACCTGAAGATTGACTAGCAGACAAAAAAAAAAAAAAAATATTTCATAAGCATAAAAACAATTGATTGAATTTTAGTGAATGTGTTTTCTTTGTATCACCCTGTACTGGCAGTAGAGGGCCACTGAGTTAAAAAAAAAATAAATATGTATGAGGATAATGAGGTTCAGGTTAGGGTGTGTAGAAGAGAGGGAGACTACTTCCCTGTAAAAGTAGGTCTTAGGCAGGGATGTGTAATGTCACCATGGCTGTTTAATGTATTTATTGATGGGGTTGTAGAAGAAGCAAATGTTAGGGTGTTGGGGTGAGGGGTGGGATTAAATTATGGGGAATCAAATACAAAATGGGAGTTGACACAGTTACTTTTTGCTGATGATACTGTGCTTATGGGAGATTCTAAAGAAAAGTTGCAGAGGTTAGTGGACGAGTTTGGGAGGATGTGTAAAGGCAGAAAGTTGAAAGTGAACATAGATAAGAGTTAAAGTGATGAGGGTATCAAATGGTTTAGATAAAGAAAAATTGGATATCACACTGGAGAGAGGGAGTATGGAAGAAGTGAGTGTTTTCAGATACATGGGAGTTGACTTGTCAGCGGAAGGGTTTATGAAGGATGAGGTTAACCATAGATATGATGAAGGAAAAAAGGCGAGTGGTGCACTGAGGTATCTGTGGAGACAAAAACGTTATCCAAGGAGGCAAAGAAAGGAATGTATGAAAGTATAGTGGTACCAACACTCTTATATGGGTGTGAAGCTTGGGTTGTAAATGCTGCAGCAAGGAGGCAGTGGAGATGTCCTGTCTAAGGGCAATGTGTGGTGTAAATATTATACAGAAAATTCGGAGTGTGGAAATTAGGAGAAGGTGAGGAGTTGAAGAGGGGTTGTTGAAGAGTGGTTGTTGAGGTGGTTTGGTCATTCAGAGAGAATGGATCAAAGTAGAATGACATGGAAAGCATATAAATCTGTAGGGGAAGGAAGGTCGGGTAGGGGTCGTCCTCAAAAAGGTTAGAAGCAGGGGGTAAAGGAGGTTTTGTGGGCAAGGGGGCTTGGACGTCCAGCAAGCGTGCGTGAGTGTGTTAGATAGGAGTTAATAGAGACGAATGGTTTTTGGGACCTGACAAGCTGCTGGAGTGTGAGCAGGGTAATATTTAGTGAAGGGATTCAGGGAAATCGGTTATTTTTATATAGCCGGACTTGAGTGCTGGAAATGGGAAGTACAATGCCTGCACTTTAAAGTAGGGGTTTGGGATATTGGCAGTTTGGAGGGATATGTTATATATCCTTATATATGCTTCTGAACTGTTGTATCTGGGTGCCTCTGCAAAAACAGTGATTATGTATGATTATGTATATGTGAGGTGAAAGGGTTGGATGATAAAAGTATTTTCTTTTTGGGGATTTTCTTTCTTTTTAGGTCACCCTGTCTCAGTGGGAGACGGCTGATTTATTGACAAAAAAAAAAAAACAATATTTTGCCATAACAGAAAATGATGCAAGTTTATATGAAGGCAAAATTATAAACTGAGTTTGCTTTTCACCAGCTTCATTAAAATTACTTTCAATGAATATCAACACCACAAAAATAGTGAAAACATTATACATTTAAAAAATGGAAAGAACCCTGCAAGCATTAGTGATATCAAAGACTTAGAAGAATACAGCGGACGCTCAGTTACCGGCCGTAATCCATTCCAGAAGCTTGGCCTAAAACAAAAATGGCCAAAAACCGAATGATATTTCTCATAAGAATTAATGTAAATACAATTAATCCACTCCAGACAACTAAAAATATTCACAAAAAAGTTTTATTAATTAATGAATTAAAATAAATGCATGAACAATTAAATCAGGATTACATACCTTTATTGATGACTCTTCTTGACTTATGGAAGATAGGGAGGAGGAGAGAGGGAATTGGGGTTATTGTTTGGAAGGGGAATTCCCCTCCATAATGACTTCAGGCAACAAGTCCCTCTCTGGGGTTACTTCCCTTGTTTGTCTTTTAATGCCACTAGGACAAGCTTGAGAGTGACTGCACACCTGTCGCACAAAATAACTGTCAAGAGTGCTTTGTTTCTGGCATCTCTAAGATTTGCCTGAAGTGGGACAAAGTTTTGTCACTGAATATGTTGCAGATATGGCTTGTTTCAGCTTGGTTAGGGTGGTATTTCTCTACAAAAGCTTGCACCCCAGTCCACACTGCACAAATCTCGTTAATTTCTGAAGAAGGCAACTCCTTCATTCCCTCTACCTCCTCCTCTGAAGTAAGTTCCTCAGCTGCAGTCTGTTGCTGTTCAAGTTGAAGCTCTTGCAGCTCTTCAGTGGTTAGCTCTTCCTTGTGGTCGTCCACCAACTCTTCCACATCCTCACCACTAACCTCCAACCCCATGGACTTCCCCAATGCCACAACAGAATCCACAGCAGGCAGAGGGTCATCAGGGTCAGCCTTAAACCTTTCAAAATCCCTCTCTTAGGCACAACCTGACCACAATTTTCTCCAAACAGAGTTCAAAGTCCTCTGGCCCATGGACCTGCTGGTCCAAGGGCCAGAGGAGAGGAGTGGTGTTAGGAGGCAAGAACTTCACTGTGATGAAACGTAATTCCACAGATGAGAGGTCTACCAAGTTTGGAGGATGAGCAGGAGCATTGTCCAGTACCAGGAGGCACTTGAGTGGCAATTTATGTTCCAGGAGGTATTTTTTCACACTGGGGCCAAACACATCATTGAGCCACTCTTTGAAAATGTGCCTTGTGACCCATGCCTTACTGTTAGCTTTCCACATCACACACAATCTATTCTTGATGACATTGTTTTTCTTGAACACTACTGGGATTTTCGGAGTGATACACCAGCAAAGGCTTCACTCCGAAATCCCCAATAGCAGTAGCACAGAACAAAAGAGTAAGCCTGTCTTTCATAGGCTTGTGGCCTGGCAGTGCTTTTTTCTCCTGAGTAATGTAGGTCCTCTTTGGCATTTTCTTCTAAAACAGGCCTGTTTTGTCACAAGTGAACACTTGTTGGGGTTTGAAGTCTTCAGCCTTTATGTACCCCTGGAATTCCTGTACGAATTTTTCAGCCGCACATTTGTCAAAACTTGCAGCTTTGCCATGCCTTGCCACACTGCGTATGCCACTACGCTTCTTAAATCTCTCAAACCAGCCTTTGCTGTCCCTAAATTCACTAACATCAGCACTTGTTCCAGGAATTTTCTTTACAAGATCTGCATGCACCTGCCTTGCCTTCTCACCAATGGATTCCACAACACTGTCTTTCACTAACTGTTTTTCAGTGATCCACAACAACAACAACTTCTTCATATTTTCAATTATTGGTGGCCTTTGGTTAGCACATTTGCCCCTTTTGCCACATCAGCTTGCTTGATTCGTTCCTTCTTTGCCAGGATAGCAGTGATTGTTGATTTGTTTTTCACATACATCCTGGTAAGCTCAAGCAATCGAAGGCCATTCTCATATTTTTCAACAACTTGTTTCTTAAATTCCATGGTGTTTCTCACTTTTTTTACCAGAGGAACTTTACTAGGAACATTCTTTGGGGCCATGGTAACTTATTTTGCAGTTGCACTTAATGAAAAACCTCCAAAAACAATGAAAATGTTTGGATGAATGACCACAAACTTCCTCACTTGCCCAGACACACCTAGACTGATGCACAAGCTGTGGTGGCCGGCTGGTTGACACGTCCCATACGGCTGATAACCGAAATAACAGCCGATAACCTGGAGCCGAAAACCCAGCCAATAACTGAGCTGGCCAATAACCGAGGGTCCACTGTATATGCAAAATAATGAGTTACATGAAGCACTTGGTCCAGCTCTTTCATGAGGATGATAAAAATTGTGTGTTCATGATACAAATAATTTTTTAACACCCCGGTTGTCTCCCACCAAGGTTAGGATAATGCAAAACAAAAACACACTCACCATTATTCATTTAGTAGCTGTCTTGCCAGAGGTGCACAGACATCATAAGTCAAATGACTGAACAGCAACATCCCCAACCCCTCCTCCTGAGTACAGACATTACACTTCCCACCTCCAGGATTTAAATCCAGCTAAACAATATCACCTGAATTCCTTCGTAAATGCTACTTGCTCACACTCTAAGAGAACATCAGTCTGTAAAAACAGTTGACTCCAATCACTCTAACACACTCAAAAGCCTACTGGATACTCAAGCCCCTAGCACTCAAAACCTCCATTATCTCTCTTCTACCAAAAAGACAAACCCTACCCCTCCTTCCCTCCTGTTCCCAATTTATACACCTTTGTTAACCTGTTCTGCTCTATCCATTATAAATGCCCAAACCATCACCACAATCCTTCCTCAATCCTCTGAATTATGCCTTTGGTAACCCTACATCATCTGATTTCTACACTCTGAATTCTCTGTATAAAATTTACACAACACAATGCTCTCAAACATATTTCCACAGCCCCTAGTCATCTCCTTACTACAATATTCAAAGCCCATGTTTCACACTCATAAAAGTGTTGGAATCACAATAATCTAGTATATACACACTTTTTTTTTTAACACTGGCCACCTCCCACTGAGGTAGGGTGACCTGACAAAAAACAAAAAACAAAAAGCACTTTCACTGTCACCCATTTAATCACTATCTTGCCAGAAGGGCACTTACATCACAGTTCAGATGACCCTCCAAACTGTAACATCTCCACCTCTCCTTCAGAGTGCAGGCACTGTACTTCCCACCTCCAGGACTCAAGTTCAGCTAACCAGTTTTTCTGCATCCCTTCCTAAATGTTACCTTGCTCACACTCCAAGAGCATGTCAAATCATAAAAGCCACTTGCTTCTATTTAAAATTCTCACACAAGCATGTTGGATGTCCAAGCTCCCCTTTTCTGCCTCCATATATAAATATTTTGCTGTCCAGAGCTGCCTCAATGCACCACCTACCTCTTTTCCTTATCTGTTCAGTGGTTCACATTGTTTCACAGACCTATGTGTCAACATGTCTACTCCCACATATCTAAACATGTTAAGATCTATTACAATGCTCATCCATATAACATGGTGTGTATAAAAGCAATTAAAAAAGTACATCCAGTAGTGCATGGAAAGGCTTTCATTTTATTCGTTATTCAATTTTGGATGCACCTTCAATAGCATTTGCCAAAAATTCCACCATACAGAGGAGCTTCATAAGAAAACTTACTGTTCACCCACTTCCTCCATAATCCCTCCCTCCAATCTGATACAGGCATCCAATCTTTCACTGCCTAGACATTTTTGGTCTTTCTTATCACCTTACTCTTTTCTATGTTCACTTTTAATTTCCTTCATTTATACATACATACAAATATATACATACCTGCAAAAGCTCTAAAACAACACTATGAATGCCCATATTTCTTAAAAGACGTTGTTCATTCCTCTTTGGTGTCAGATTGCCATGACTGGATTGTGTAACACAGAGCTTGTTCATCCTCACTAGTATCTGCCAAGAATTTAATCGAGATTTAATGTAAAAAAATATCTACAGACTAGAACATTTCACAATATTATTTTTAGAAGAACTGGCATTACATCAGTGTATAATTACTTGTCTTTTGACAAGCCAAAAAAAAAAAAAAAAAAAAAAAAAAGATTCCGGAGCTATGGCAAAAAATGGTTCCCTTGCTGGCTTACAGGAGAAAGACAATAATGAAATACGGGATCATATAAAGATAGCATACAGTGAAATAAATAACTTCTAAGCACCATAAGGCACATGTGGCTACAAGGAGAAACTAATAGTCGAATACCAGAATAGGATCAAAGAAAGGATGAAATTACTACATTTACTGAGAACTTTTAAAGAACTATTACTAAGTTGTGAAGATGAATAGCTCTCCAAAAACAAGAATTTAATATAACTGAATTAAATGTAATTTTTTTTTTTTCAACAAGTCGGCCGTCTCCCACCGAGGCAGGATGACCCAAAAAGAAAGAAGATTCCCAAAAAGAAAATACTTTCATCATCATTCAACATTTTAACCACACTCATACATAATCAGTCTTGGCAGAGGTGCCCAGATACAACAGTTTAGAAGCATATACAAAGATATATAACTTATCCCTCCAAACTGCCAGTATCCCAAACCCCTCCTTTAAAGTGCAAGCATTGTACTTCCCATTTCCAGTACTCAAATCCAGCTATACAAAAATCACCAGTTTCCCTGAATCCCTTCACTAAATATTACCCTGCTCACACTCCAACAGCTCGTTAGGTCCCAAAAACCATTCGCCTCCATTCACTCCTATTTAACATGCTCACACACATTTACTTGAAGTCCAAGCCCCTCGCCCACAAAACCTCCTTTACCCCCTCTCTCCAACCTTTTCGAGGACGACCCCTACCCGACCTTCCTTCCCCTACAGATTTATACACTCTCCAAGTCATCCTACTTTGATCCATTCTCTCTAAATGACCAAACCATCTCAACAACCCCTCTTCAGCCCTCTAGCTAATACTTTTATTAACTCCACATATTCTCCTTACTTCCACACTCCGAATTCTCTGCATAATATTTACACCACACATTGCCCTTAGACAAGACATCTCCACTGCCTCCAGTGGCCTCCTTGCTGCAGCATTTACAACCCACGCTTCACACCCATATACGAGTGTTCATACCACTATATGTACTTTCATACATCCCCTTCTTTGCCTCCATGGATAACATGTTTTGTCTCCATAAATACCTCAACACACCACTTACCTTTTTTCCTTCATCAATTCTACGATTAACCTCATCATTCATAAACCCATCTGCTGACATGTCAACTCCCAAATATCTGAAAACGTTCACTTCTTCCATACTCCCTCTCTTCAATGTGATATCCAATGTTTCCTATCTAAATCATTTGATACCCTCATCACCTTACTCTTATCTATATTCACTTTCAACTTTATACCTTTACACACCCTCCCAAACTCGTCCACTAACCTTTGAAACTTTTCTTTAAAATCTCCCATAAGCACAATATCATCAGCAAAAAATAACTGTGTCAACTCCCATTTTGTACTTGATTCCCCAGAATTTAATCTCACCCCTCTCCTCAACACCCTAGCATTTACTTCTTTCACAACCCCATCTATAAATATATTAAACAACCATGATGACATTACACATCCCTGTCTAAGACCTACTTTTACTGGGAAGTAATCTCCTTCTCTCCTACACACTCTAACCTGAGCCTCACTATCTTCACAAAAACACTTTACAGCATTTAATAACATATCACTGCTGGCTCCGGCTTCTTTCAGCCAAAGTGTGATGTAGCCAACTTCTTACTTTCTCCTTACCTTAAAACACCATTACTGTCCCCTTAAACATAAATTATACAAAAGTTGCACATACAAATAACCCAATTTTTTCCCTTATGCTCTTCATTTTACATAATAGTATTTTATATAACGTATGGATTTTCAGGAATGTAACCTACATGCTGACAATGTTTTGCAATACATGTTTCTTACCACTATCAACAGTATGCAGTAATGCATATACAGTATCATAATGCAACCATCTACAACAATGCATAATAATCTCTTACCTGCTGAATTCGCTTGTAGTTATCTGCTTGCTCAGGTTCAAGTGGAGGACCAAGACCCAAATCTATGGCTGACTCCTGCTTGTCTTGAGCCGAAAGCATTGGTGCAGGAGGCTTTTTAGGTTTCCTATCTGCTGTAATTACAAATAAAAATAAAAATTACCACAAAGAGGTGGATATGTATGTTCCAATCTTGCAATGCTAGAATTAAGTAAAATGTTACCTTGTTCTCGAGTGTAAACCATATTTCCTAATAAATACACTTACAAACTATAGGTCACAGTTACCAAGTCTTCTTTTCACAATTGTTCCAAGGTTAACACACAAATATTTACACAAACATTAATGAGGGAAGAGCTTTTCTTTACATTAATACAATGAATCAAGGAAGTTAAGAGTATGAACAAAGCTAGGCAGTTGATTGCCTACATACTTGCTTACCCTGCCTACCACTCAAAAGGAAGCTTATTCGAAACTGTTAACCACTCTTTCATTACATAGTAGGTGAGTTTTCTTTATGTTTAAAATGTTTTTAATTAACAATGATCTTTGTTTAAGCATTATATCTGAATAAAATACAGAGAAAATATACCTATTTCTGCTGAGGGCATTACATTCAAATTACTCTAGTCCCTTATGTATCTACAACCATTTACCTGTTCATACAATATTCATGTAATGTTTTGTGAATAAAGAATCTAAATCTGAATGGGCAATTTTTTTTTTTTCAATAAGTCGGCAGTCTCCCAATGAGGCAGGGTGACCCAAAAAAGAAGGAAAATCCCCAAAAAGAAAATATTTTCATCATTCAACACTTTCACCTCGCTCATACATAATCACTGTTTTTGCAGAGGTGCTCAGAATACAACAGTTTAGAAGTATATATATATAAAAATATACAATATATCCCTCCAAACTGCCAATATCCCAAACCCCTCCTTTAGAGTGCAGGCATTGCACTTCCCATTTCCAGGACTCAAGTTTGGTTATATAAAATAACCGGATTCCCTGAACCCTTTCACTAAATATTACCCTGCTCACACTCCAACAGCTCGTCAGGTCCCAAAAACCATTCATCTCCATTCACTTCTAACAGGCTCATGCACGCTTGCTGGAAGTCCAAACCCCTCGCCCACAACACCTCCTTTACCCCCTCCCTCCAACCTTCTTGAGGACGACCCCTACCCCGCCTTCCTTCCCCAACAGATTCATATGCTCTCCATGTCGTTCTATTTTGATCCATTCTCTCTAAATGACCAAGCACCTCAACAAACCCTCTTCAGCCCTCTGACTAATACTTTTATTAACTCCACACCTTCTCCTAATTTCTACACTCCAAATTTTCTTCATAATATTTACACCACACATTGCCCTTAGACAGGACATCTCCACTGCCTCCAACCACCTTCTCACTGCAGTATTTACAACCCAAGCTTCACACCCATATAAGAGTGTTGATACTACTATACTTTCATACATTCCCTTCTTTGCCTTCATAGATAACATTTTTTGCCTCCACATATACCTCAATGTACCACTTACCTTTTTTCCTTCATCAATTCTATGATTAACCTCATCCTTCATAAATCTATCCGCTAACACATCAACTCCCAAATATCTGAAAACATTCACTTCTTCCATACTCCTCCTCCCCAATTTGATATCCAATTTTTCTTTATCTAAATCATTTGATACCCTCATCACCTTACTCTTTTCTATGTTCACTTTCAACTTTCTACCTTTACACACATTCCCAAACTCATCCACTAACCTTTGCAATTTTTCTCTAGAATCTCCCATAAGCACAGTATCATCAGCAAAAAGTAACTTTGTCACTTCCCATTTTGTATTTGATTCCCCATAATTTAATCCCACCACTCTCCTGAACACCCTAGCATTTACTTCTTTTACAACCTCATCTATAAATATATTAAACAACCATGGTGACATTACACATCCCTGTCTAAGACCTACTTTTACTGGGAAGTAGTCTCCCTCTCTTCTACACACCCTAACCTGAGCCTCACTATCCTGATAAAAACTCTTTATAGCATTTAGTAACTTACCACCTCTTCCATATACAGTGGACCCCCGGTTAACGATATTTTTTCACTCCAGAAGTATGTTCAGGTGCCAGTACTGACCGAATTTGTTCCCATAAGAAATATTGTGAAGTAAATTAGTCCATTTCAGACCCCCAAACATACACGTACAAACGCACTTACATAAATACACTTACATAATTGGTCGCATTCGGAGGTAATCGTTATGCGGGGGTCCACTGTACTTGCAACATCTGCCACACTGCTTCCCTATCCACTCAATCATATGCCTTTTCTAAATCCATAAATACAATAAAAACTTCCCTACCTTTATCTAAATACTGTTCACGTATATGCTTCAATGTAAATACTTGATCTACACATCCCCTACCCACTCTAAAACCTCTTTGCTCATCCGCAATTCTACATTCTGTCTTATCTCTAGTACAGTGGACCCCTGCATAGCGACTTTAATCCGTGCAAGAGGGCTGATTGTTATGCGAAATGTTCGGTATGCGAATGAATTTTCCCCATAAGAAATAATGGAAATCAAATTAATCCGTGCAAGACACCCAAAAGTATGAAAAAAAAAATTTTACCACATGAAGTATACATTTTCCTACACACAAAGAGGATACATGCACAATAGTAGAGTAGTACATGCACAATATATATTGTGCATGTACTACTCTACTAAATGAAGAATAAATGACACTTACCTTTATTGAAGATGCAGCAATGACTGATGAGACACTGTGTCCTGGGAGTGCCTTTTCCTCCTGAGTACTGTAGGTCCTGTTTGGCATTTTCTTCCAGAACAGGCCTTATCACACTGTGTATGCCACTACGATTCTTAAATCTCTCAAACCAACCTTTGCTGGCTTTAAATTCACCAATATGAGCACTAGTTCCAGGCATTTTTCCCTGTTCACCTGGGTGTTAGTCGACTGGTGTGGGTTGCATCCTGGGAGACAAGATTAAAGACCCCAATGGAAATAAGTTAGAGAGTCTTCGATGACACTGACTTTTCTGGGTTATCCTGGGTGAAAAATCCTCTGGGGTTAATTGTTTCTTGGTATTCTCAATAAGCCACACCAACAACGGTGCTACAGCAGCAGCAGCAGCAGCAGCTGACAGTGATACAGCAGCAACAGACGATGCTACAGCAGCAACAGACGATGCTACAGCAGCAGCAGACGATGCTACAGCAGCAACAGACGATGCTACAGCAGCAGCAGACGATGCTACAGAAGCAGCAGACGATGCTACAGCAGCAGCAGACGATGCTACAGCAGCAGCAGACGATGCTACAGCAGCAGCAGATGATGCTACAGCAGCAGCAGCAGCTGACGGTGGTACAACAGCAGCAGCAGCTGACAGTGCAGCAGCAGCTGACGGTGGTACAGCAGCTGTACCACCAATAGTAGCGATGGTTGATTGGGGTTTATTATACAACCTGGCCAGCTCGGAGACACGCACTCCACTTTCATACTTATCAATGATCTTTTTCTTCATCTCTATAGTAATTCTCACCCTTATTGCTGTAGGGTTGGCACTAGAAGCTTTCTTGGGGCCCATGGTCACTTATTTTCCAGAAAAAATCACCAAAAACACTGTAATAATACGAAATGTTCCGATTGTATGCTTGGATGTTACCGCGGAGGCTGGCTGGTAAACAATGCCACCGGCGGAACATGTGAGCGTGGCTCAGGCCGCACATTGGACGCGTCTCGGACAAAGAGCAGTGAGCGGGTTTTTGGGCGGTATGCGAGGCAAAATTTTTGCGAAAAAAGCGAGCGGTATGCGGATTGTACGGTATGCGATGCGTGCGGTATGCGGGGGTCCACTGTACTTTCAATAATAACCCTACCGTACACTTTTCCTGCTATGCTCAGTAAAATTATTCCTCTATAATTTTTACAATCCTAGGCAGTAGGTTGGTAAATAGCAACCGCCCAGGGAGGTACTACCGTCCTGCCAAGTGAGTGTACAACGAAAACCTGTAATTGTTTTACATGATGGTAGGATTGCTGGTGTCTTTTGTCTGTCTCATAAACATGCAAGATTTCAGGTATGTCTTGTTACTTCTGCTTGCACTTAGGTCACACTACACATACATGTACAAGCATATATATACACACCCCTCTAGGTATTCTTCTATTTTCTTTCTAGTTCTTATTCTTGTTTATTTCCTCTTATCTCCATGGGGAAGTGGAACAGAATTCTTCCTCCGTAAGCCATGCGTGTTGTAAGAGGCAACTAAAATGCTGGGAGCAAGGGGCTAGTAACCCCTTCTCCCGTATAAATTACTAAATTTAAGAGAAACTTTCGTTTTTCTTTTTGGGCCACCCTGCCTTGGTGGGATACGGCCGGTGTGTTGAAAGAAAGAAAGAATTTTTACAATCTCTTTTGTCCCCCTTTCCTTTATATAAAGGGACTATACATGATCTCCACCTCTCCTTCCCCTCTTTCACACATTTATTAAACAAAAATACAAACCACTCCAACACTATGTTTCCCCCTGCTTTTAACATTTATGTCATGATCCTATAAGTTCGAGCTGCTTTACCCCCTTTCATTCTACATAATGCCTCACGTACCTCCCCCACACTCACATCCTGTTCTTCTTCACTCCTAGAAGATGGTATACCTCCCTGGCCAGTGCATGAAATTACCGCCTCCTTTTCTTTGTCGACATTTAAAAGTTCTTCAAAATATTCTCACCATCTACCCAATACCTCCATCTCCCCATCTACTAACTCCACTACTCTGTTTTTAACTGACAAATCCATTCGTTTCCTAGGCTTTCTTAACTTGCTTAACTCACTCGAAATTTTTTTCTTATTTTCATTAAAATTTCTTGAAAGTGCCTCTCCCACTCTATCATCCGATCTCCTTTTGCACTCTCTCACCACTCTCTTCACCTTTCTTTTATTCTCCATATACTCTACTCTTCTTATAACACTTCTGCTTCGTAAATGCCTCTCACAAGCTACCTTTTTCTTTTTTATCACACCCTTTTCTTCATCATTCCACCAATCACTCCTCTTTCCTCCTGCACCAACCCTCCTATAACCACAAACTTCTGCTCCACATTCTAATACTGCAAAAGGAATTTATAATTAAGGCAGTCATCTTTTGGTAAGGTAACTAGTTGTTGAAAAGTGGGAGTGCAAAGGTAAGTTAACATGACATCTTAAGAGTTATAGTAAGTCAGAAAAACTGCAATCAATAAAACCTACTTTCATCGTCGTCATCATCTTTATTTTTCTTCTTTTTCTTTTTAGTTCCACCACTATCTTCATCAGTGCTTCTGGATTTATAGACCCATAGTTCTGACTTCTCAACAAGATTGCGTAAATCATCCAAATCTTCTTTTATTTGCTTGTATGACTCCACATCCCCGTCTTGAACTAAAAGTTGTACCTAAAAATGTCAAATTAATAATTAATATACATTTGTACAGGAATATATTTTTCAAAACAATTACATTTTTATACATATTTTTTAATTTATTTTCCACCTATTTTCATTATCTAATATACTGTACCTCATACCGTTTAGCAAGATGATCAGTTTGCTGTATAAGGTTTGTGTCCTACAAAATCTGTAAGTGTGACCTTTTATTTGACACTATGCCTCTTTATTACCCAAGTCACTCTTTTACACCAATAACACAAACACACATTCATGCACATGTCTTTTGAAGTAAATTCTTGATAATCATCTAGAGTTTTTAATATAACAGAGGTAAAAATTTTATCAGTGTAAACAAAATGTAGCGACACCCCTCATTCACAGTATATTCAGAGACTGAAAGAAATAATAAGAAAATTATGAATTATGTATAAAAGTGCAGAACTATACATTACAATGAAATACAGGATTGTACCTATTGTTAGATAACATTTACGATGAACTGATGCAAATGACTGATGTGATGTAAATTATTTATGTTATACAGATGATATTGGCAGTATGGAGGGATATGTTGTGTATGCTTCTAAACTGTTGTATTCTGAGCACCTCTGCAAAAACAGTGATAATGTGTGAGTGTGGTGAAAGTGTTGAATGATGAAAGTATTTTCTTTTTGGGGATTTTCTTTCTTTTTTGGGTCACCCTGCCTCGGAGGGAGACGGCCGACTTGTTGAAAAAAAAAAAAAAAAAAAAGATGACTAACAAGATGCTGTTGTTGCAGCATGGGAATCCAACTCTCTTTCTTTAGGATCATTCAAGGACAACTCTCTCACCCCATGAAAGCATATCTAACAATTCTACTTTTTACTAAGTTCTATTATAACCTTTATCTTAGGAACAGACTCATTTTATCCATTTTTCTTTCTTTTACAGGCCATGATACACACTAATACAATACAGTAATAATACACTACAACACAGTAATTCAAGTACTGCATTATATAGTACAATATAGTGGTGAAGGAAGAACTAATGAATTAGTTATGTTAGAATTAAAACATTGTTGAGTCAGCCAAACAAAAGAAGGTTGTGGTTTAAACATACCATCAACACCTACAACACACCCTAGAATACATTCATGGTGTTGGCTACACTAATTTTATTAACATTTGTATACAATTAGGAGTATGGAAAAAAATTTAGCTTTCCTTCATATGTCTAGTTTTTATAGGACATTTATAATACAATTCAGTTAACTGCCAAAATTTCTATATATGAAGCCATGAATTTTGAAGGATTACTTATGCTTAGTAGTCTTGGATCAGAAGAGATAAAAATGCAAAGAAGAAAGTGTTCAAGTGGTTATAAAATATTAAATTTATAGACCATGAGCCTTTATTTACCAATGACAGCTCAATCTTTTATCCTCTTTTTTCTCTAGGAATTTTGTTGACTATGTGTGTGTGAAAAAAAACAGCAGACCTAATCATAGTCGTAACAAGGCTTGACTTTTTTAAAATGCAAATTTGCATTCTAAAAATAAAAGATTGGAAAATTTACTTCATAGATGCCACATAATATAAATAAGTGAAAACAAACATTGTACAGTGGGCCCCCGAGTTTCATGATTAATCCGTTCCAGAGAGTCGGCTGACAGGCGAAATTCACGACTGGCGAATCTATTTTCCCCATAAGAAATAATGGAAACCCAATTAATCCGTTTCAGACAGCCAAAAGTATTAACAAAAAATATTTTTTTTTAAAGATTAAATATAGATTTATATACAGAAAACAATGAAAAATAAATATAAAGCACTAATAAAATGGATAAATGAACATTTAACATCACACTTATCCTTTATTGATTCTTGTTGGTGTAGGAGGTGGGTAGGAGGCAAGAGGAAGGCGAGTTTATTATGCTTCAATATGACGCTAATATCATCTCTACGGCTTATTTATATATCACAATTCATCTAATATGACATTATAAACAATATTAGTAACACAGAACATGATATATCTAGGTAGTAGGTTGGTAGACAGCAACCGCCCAGGGAGGTACGGAAGCCTGTAATTGTTTTACATGATGGTAGGATTGCTGGTGTCTTTTTATTCTGTCTCATACACATGCAAGATTTCAGGTACGTCTTGCTACTTCTACTTACTCTTAGGTCACACTACACATACATGTACAAACATATATATATACACCCCTCTGGGTTTTCTTCTATTTTCTTTCTAGTTCTTGTTCTTGTTTATTTCTTCTTGCCTCCATGGGGAAGTGGAACAGAATTCTTCCTCCATAAGCCATGCGTATTTTAAGAGGCGACTAAAATGCAAGGAGCATGGGGCTAGTAACCTCTTCTCCTGTATATATTACTAAATATAAAAGGGGAAGTGGAAAAGAATCTTTCCTCCGTAAGCCATGCGTGTCGTATGAGGCGACTAAAATGCCGGGAGCAATGGGCTAGTAACCCCTTCTCCTGTAGACATTTACTAAAAAAGAGAAGAAGAAAAACTTGATAAAACTGGGATGCTTGAATGTGCGTGGATGTAGTGCAGATGATAAGAAACAGATGATTGCTGATGTTATGAATGAAAAGAAGTTGGATGTCCTGGCCCTAAGCGAAACAAAGCTGAAGGGGGTAGGGGAGTTTCGGTGGGGGGAAATAAATGGGATTAAATCTGGAGTATCTGAGAGAGTTAGAGCAAAGGAAGGGGTAGCAGTAATGTTGAATGATCAGTTATGGAAGGAGAAAAGAGAATATGAATGTGTAAATGCAAGAATTTTGTGGATTAAAGTAAAGGTTGGATGCGAGAAGTGGGTCATAATAAGCGTGTATGCACCTGGAGAAGAGAGGAATGCAGAGGAGAGAGAGAGATTTTGGGAGATGTTAAGCGAATGTATAGGAGCCTTTGAACCAAGTGAGAGAGTAATTGTGGAAGGGGACCTGAATGCTAAAGTAGGAGAAACTTTTAGAGAGGGTGTGGTAGGTAAGTTTGGGGTGCCAGGTGTAAATGATAATGGGAGCCCTTTGATTGAACTTTGTATAGAAAGGGGTTTAGTTATAGGTAATACATATTTTAAGAAAAAGAGGATAAATAAGTATACAAGATATGATGTAGGGTGAAATGACAGTAGTTTGTTGGGTTATGTATTGGTAGATAAAAGACTGTTGAGTAGACTTCAGGATGTACATGTTTATAGAGGGGCCACAGATATATCAGATCACTTTCTAGTTGTAGCTACACTGAGAGTAAAAGGTAGATGGGATACAAGGAGAATAGAAGCATCAGGGAAGAGAGAGGTGAAGGTTTATAAACTAAAAGAGGAGGCAGTTAGGGAAAGATATAAACAGCTATTGGAGGATAGATGGGCTAATAAGAGCATAGGCAATGGGGTCGAAGGGGTATGGGGTAGGTTTAAAAATGTAGTTAGAGTGTTCAGCAGAAGTTTGTGGTTACAGGAAAGTGGGTGCGGGAGGGAAGAGGAGCGATTGGTGGAATGATGATGTAAAGAGAGTAGTAAGGGAGAAAAAGTTAGCATATGAGAAGTTTTTACAAAGTAGAAGTGATGCAAGGAGGGAAGAGTATATGGAGAAAAAGAGAGAGGTTAAGAGAGTGGTGAAGCAATGTAAAAAGAGAGCAAATGTGAGAGTGGGTGAGATGTTATCAACAAATTTTGTTGAAAATAAGAAAAAGTTTTGGAGTGAGATTAACAAGTTAAGGAAGCCTAGAGAACAAATGGATTTGTCAGTTAAAATAGGAGAGGAGAGTTATTAAATGGAGAGTTAGAGGTATTGGGAAGATGGAGGGAATATTTTGAGGAATTGTTAAATGTTGATGAAGATAGGGAAGCTGTGATTTTGTGTATAGGGCAAGGAGGAATAACATCTTGTAGGAGCGAGGAAGAGCCAGTTGTGAGTGTGGGGGAAGTTCGTGAGGCAGTAGGTAAAATGAAAGGGGGTAAGGCAGCCGGGATTGATGGGATAAAGATAGAAATGTTAAAAGCAGGTGGGGATAGTTTTGGAGTGGTTGGTGCAATTATTTAATAAATGTATAGAAGAGGGTAAGGTACCTAGGGATTGGCAGAGAGCATGCATAGTTCCTTTGTATAAAGGCAAAGGGGATAAAAGAGAGTGCAAAAATTATAGGGGATAAGTCTGTTGAGTATACCTGGTAAAGTGTATGGTAGAGTTATTATTGAAAGAATTAAAAGTAAGACTGAGAATAGGATAGCAGATGAACAAGGAGGCTTTAGGAAAGGTAGGGGGTGTGTGGACCAGGTGTTTACAGTGAAACATATAAGTGAACAGTATTTAGATAAGGCTAAAGAGGTCTTTGTGGCATTTATGGATTTGGAAAAGGCATATGACAGGGTGGATAGGGGGGCAATGTGGCAGGTGTTGCAGGTGTATGGTGTAGGAGGTAGGTTACTGAAAGCAGTGAAGAGTTTTTACGAGGATAGTGAGGCTCAAGTTAGAGTACATAGGAAAGAGGGAAATTATTTCCCAGTAAAAGTAGGCCTTAGACAAGGATGTGTGATGTCACCGTGGTTGTTTAATATATTTATAGATGGGGTTGTAAGAGAAGTAAATGCGAGGGTCTTGACAAGAGGCGTGGAGTTAAAATATAAAGAATCACACATAAAGTGGGAGTTGTCACAGTTGCTCTTTGCTGATGACACTGTGCTCTTGGGAGATTCTGAAGAGAAGTTGCAGAGATTGGTGGATGAATTTGGTAGGGTGTGCAAAAGAAGAAAATTAAAAGTGAATACAGGAAAGAGTAAGGTTATGAGGATAACAAAAGATTAGGTGATGAAAGATTGGATATCAGATTGGAGGGAGAGAGTATGGAGGAGGTGAATGTATTCAGATATTTGGGAGTGGACGTGTCAGCAGATGGGTCTATGAAGGATGAGGTGAATCATAGAATTGATGAGGGGAAAAGGGTGAGTGGTGCACTTAGGAGTCTGTGGAGACAAAGAACTTTGTCCTTGGAGGCAAAGAGGGGAATGTATGAGAGTATAGTTTTACCAACACTCTTATATGGGTGTGAAGCATGGGTGATGAATGTTGCAGCGAGGAGAAGGCTGGAGGCAGTGGAGATGTCATGTCTGAGGGCAATGTGTGGTGTGAATATAATGCAGAGAATTCGTAGTTTGGAAGTTAGGAGGAGGTGCGGGATTACCAAAACTGTTGTCCAGAGGGCTGAGGAAGGGTTGTTGAGGTGGTTCGGACATGTAGAGAGAATGGAGCGAAACAGAATGACTTCAAGAGTGTATCAGTCTGTAGTGGAAGGAAGGCGGGGTAGGGGTCGGCCTAGGAAAGGTTGGAGGGAGGGGGTAAAGGAGGTTTTGTGTGCGAGGGGCTTGGACTTCCAGCAGGCGTGCGTGAGCGTGTTTGAGAGGAGTGAATGGAGACGAATGGTTTTTAATACTTGACGTGCTGTTGGAGTGTGAGCAAAGTAACATTTATGAAGGGGTTCAGGGAAACCGGCAGGCCGGACTTGAGTCCTGGAGATGGGAAGTACAGTGCCTGCACTCTGAAGGAGGGGTGTTAATGTTGCAGTTTAAAAACTGTAGTGTAAAGCACCCTTCTGGCAAGACAGTGATGGAGTGAATGATGGTGAAAGTTTTTCTTTTTCAGGCCACCCTGCCTTGGTGGGAATCGGCCAGTGTGATAAAAAAAAAAAAAAAAAAAAAAAAAAAAAAAAAAAAAAAAAAAAAAAAAAGGAGAAACTTTCGTTTTTCCTTTTGGGCCACCCCGCCTCGGTGGGATACGGCTGGTGTGTTGAAAGAAAGAAACATGATATATGCTCTAGAGTGAATAAAATATGTCATAATGCATGAGAGGAGTAAATAGTGTAAGTGTTGTTGTTGGGTTTAAGGGCCGCCACTGAGAGAAGCCGTGTTGGTGGCGGTGGAGGCTTTGGCCACCACTATCACACTTAAACAATGTATGTAATTTATAAATAAGAAATATTTACATTTTAATTTATAAATAAGTTTATTCAGGTATACACAAAGAGTTACATACATAGATTATCATACATAGCAGCATATATGTAAAGTACCCTGGATAACCCAAAAAATTCAAGAGTGACACATTTTCACTGGTGTCCTTTTATATTTACACTTATATTTACTTTTATACTTACACTTTTATATTTACACTTACCTTGGAGGAGATGTTAGTTTAATTAGTTAGTTTGATGAAGATGTTGGCAGAGGTTTAGGGTGGTGGAAGATAGCAGGGTGGTGCATGTTCAGCAGTCCTATACACATCCAACAACATTGGAGAGTTACTCTCATGTTGTTTTTCTATCGCTTACTTGCTTAACTTACTTGTTACACTGTTAATTCTACACTTTATCGCTGGCTGGAGCTATAGCCTTTATCGATACCTGCTGCTTTAGTATCATACACATTGTAGAATCACTGAATCACTGCAGAAGGCACATTCTCCCTTCTCTCTTCCTCCTCTACTTTAGTACTTTGCTATGAGTTTTTTCTTGAATTCTATCATGTTTCTCATCTTCTTTACCAAAGGGCTGGCACTAGGAGCTTTCTTTGGGCCCATGGTGGCTTATTTACCAGTTGCAAGCACAAAAAAACAATGAATTATTATGAAATGTGTTGTATGAACCCGTGGGGTGATGGTCACATGCTGGTAAACAATGGCATACTGAGTGTGAATAGTGCAGGAGACTGGCTTTGCGTGTGCGCTGACGGGCAGACGCGTACCAGAAGGTCGCCGAATCACGAGTCCAATCACGAACCACGAAGCTAAATTCTGCCAAAAAAACTTGCCGAGTCGGATTTCACGAAAGTTGCAGCCACCGAATGGCGGGGGTCCACTGAACCTGGCTGAGAATTTTACACATTTAAGATAATAGATCCTAAATGCTCTTAAAATATTAGAATATCATTTGTCATACCTATATTGGATTATTGCTTTGTTAAATTGTATCTGAATCTAAACATGTACAGTACATAACAGATGTCCAAAGATGTGCAATGAAGTGGATTCCAGAGATAAAGACATAATTTTTGTTGAAAACCTGAAGGAAAAAAAAAGGTGAAATAATAAAACACTTATAGTTTCATAGAAAAACAAGAACAGAATATTTATTTTACCAGCAATAAGATGGAGAACATGTCAATATAAAATTAGAAACAAAGAGGAATTACTTCTTCACAGAGAGTACTATATAGTTGGAAGAGGTGCTAAGAAGTGGTGTCTATGTGCCATATTTACTGAAAATTCCATGAACATTTATGGACAAATTAATAATGATACACTATGAGTATAAATACAGAAACTACAAACAGGCAATCACAAACTACTGCAAAATATTACCTGCTTAAAGTTCTGAAGCACTTCTTGTCTTTGTGAGAAGTGCCTGAAGAGTAGTTGCAATGAACGTGAGACCAGAGGAGGATACTCGTGCATAGTCAAGTGCAGTAATACACGAAGAAACTTCTTGCCACCTTCACCATCCAAATCCAAGTTAGAATTCTCCTCCCTGAAGATCATCAAATATCTAGCATTCAGAATTTTAAACAAATGCAAAACCAAACACTAGTGTTTTTAACCATCAAAAAATTGGCAATCAATTGGGAATCTAGAGATTAATTGATTTCATTATAAATGTTGCATCAATTTTTTTTTTCTAAAGAAAAGCCTCTGTCAGGAAAAGCTATCTTCACTGCTACTCAGCTTTGTTGTAAATGGTATGGTGATACCGACAAACTCTAGAAAGGGGTATGTGTATACATTTCAGGACATTTGTTAAAGGGAAGCATCACCATGAGTGGCTTTTTCATTCCTAATATGGAGAAAGCAAAAACAGGTTAATATATGGTAGACAGTGCAGGTGGTGACCAGAAGCAAAGGTGAGGTGAGGCAGGAGGTACATTAAATTTGCCAAAAGAGTACAAAAGCTCCAACGCGAATTAGATACGGTGATCAGGAACCAACACATCAGAGACTCTGAATTTCATAAAGCCTTTGTTCAAGGACTCATTATGGCAGCTATCTAGAAATCAAGTCACTCCACCATCCCTCAGTGTTACATCCAAGCATGGAGAAGTGGTTTATATACAGGTCCGCCATCACAAATCCAGCAATCAGTTATTCGGCACTAATTTTGGCTAGCATAATTTCAAATTTCCAGGGTCGCCACAAAAACCTGCTGGTACTGTTTGGTGGCGCTACTTGCTGTATAAGTCATTCAAATTTCTTTTTCCCCATTTATTGTTTTAACCTGCTTACTTTTAGCCCTACCATGGTTCCAATGAATAAAAGAAATGCTTCTCATTATGTAAAGCACCTACACAGTACATTATCCATTAAAGATAAGGTGGCTTTGAAGCCACTGTCAGTTGCCATGAGCTCAGTCTCATGATGCAGGAGAATATGCTTTATTATTACACTAATATCACACTACAGCATAATACCGAGCAGTTCGATGGAGGTATGAAGAGGATATGGTATACAAATACCATTCTCCTATCCCTGTCTTGGGGGTTTATATTAGAGAAAACGGAGTGTAACACAGGGCTAACTGTGATATACACGTACTGCACCATAAACCTTAAACAAAAAAGTTATTTTCTCTATATAGATTATCACACACAGCAGCATATGTGTAGAGAACCTAGGATAACCCAAAAAAGTCAACGTGGCTTATTTTTAGTACCTGGCTTGGGTTAGCCATATATGATTTTTGGTAAATATTCGATTCCCAGCCAGGGTAGAAACATTAGGTGTGTTTCTTTACACCTGTTGTCTATGTTTACCCACCAGTAAATGGGTACCTGGGTGTTAGCAGACTAGTGTGGGTGTTATCCTGGGACATTGACCTAATTTTCTTGAAATACTCTCCATAACACGCGGGTTTCTATATAGTAGTATGTCACTGATGTCAGCTAGGCCTGTATACCTTGTACATGTACGTGTAGTAAATAAAGATATTATTATTATTATTATTTTTTTTTTTCCTCAACAAGTCGGTCGTCTCCCACCGAGGCAGGGTGACCCAAAAAAAAGAAAGAAAATCCCCAAAAAGAAAATACTTTCATCATCATTCAACACTTTCACCACACTCACACATTATCACTGCTTTTGCAGAGGTGCTCAGAATACAACAGTTTAGAAGCATATACGTATAGAGATACACAACATATCCCTCCAAACTGCCAATATCCCAAACCCCTCCTTTAAAGTGCAGGCATTGTACTTCCCATTTCCAGGACTCAAGTCCGACTATATGAAAATAACTGGTTTCCCTGAATCCCTTCACTAAATATTATCCTGCTCACACTCCAACAGATCGTCAGGTCCCAAGTATCATTCGTCTCCATTCACTCCTATCTAACACGCTCATGCACGCTTGCTGGAAGTCCAAGCCCCTCACCATAAAACCTCCTTTACCCCCTCTTTCCAACCCTTTCGAGGACGACCCCTACCCCTCTTTCCTTCCCCTATAGATTTATATGCTTTCCATGTCATTCTACTTTGATCCATTCTCTCTAAATGACCAAACCACCTCAACAACCCCTCTTCTGCCCTCTGACTAATGCTTTTATTAACTCCACACCTTCTCCTAATTTCCACACTCCGAATTTTCTGCATAATATTTACACCACACATTGCCCTTAGACAGGACATCTCCACTGCCTCCAACCGTCTCCTCGCTGCTGCATTTACCAACCAAGCTTCACATCCATATAAGAGTGTTGGTACTACTATACTTTCATACATTCCCTTCTTTGCCTCCATAGATAACGTTTTTTGACTCCACATATACCTCAACGCACCACTCACCTTTTTTTCCCTCATCAATTCTATGATTAACCTCATCCTTCATAAATCCATCCGCCGACACGTCAACTCCCAAGTATCTGAAAACATTCACTTCTTCCATACTCCTCCTCCCCAATTTGATATCCAATTAATCTTTATCTAAATCATTTGATACCCTCATCACCTTACTCTTTTCTATGTTCACTTTCAACTTTCTACCTTTACACACATTCTCAAACTCATCCACTAACCTTTGCAATTTTTCTTTAGAATCTCCCATAAGCACAGTATCATCAGCAAAAAGTAACTGTGTCAATTCCCATTTTGAATTTGATTCCCCATAATTTAATCCCACCCCTCTCCCGAACACCCTAGCATTTACTTTTTACAACCCCATCTATAAATATATTAAACAACCATGGTGACATTACACATCCCTGTCTAAGACCTACTTTTACCGGGAAGTATTATTATTATTATTATTATTATATTATTATGGAAAATTTTATAGGGTGTTACCTGTATGTACCTCAACATTACATGCATACACGTAATCTCATTGGGAGACAACCATATTGTTTACCGTAGTCACCCCGTGTAGACATGTGAGAAAACTTAACCACCCCTGGTCACGGCAGGTGGTTCCTTCGACCTCACAATCTTATCCATATCTATCCGGGACCAGTATAAATTGGATAGCACCCACAAGCACGGCGCTACTAATTAATTGTGGACTGTATAGATTGGTGTCAATGGGTACGGGAGTTATTTCTTGAGTAGCTTTAGGTAGATGTCGTTTTGATAAGGACCTGCCTCGTATGGGCCAGTAGGCCTTCTGCAGTGTTCCTACATTCTTATGTTCTTATGTTCTTATTAGTTTAACTGAATGAAGGGAGGGGGGTAGGTTACACTAGGATATATCCATCAAGGAAAAACACTTGTACATAATCCCACCACTTACCAGATATTCTCTGGTGGTCACTTGATGTAGCTGGATCACCCATAACCTATCCAATTACAACATACCTAACTGGCCAGTATCAGTCTGCTATAACTAGAAGGGTTACTTAACTGTGGGCGATTGATACTCCTATTTCCTCCATTCACCATTTCATTTCGATGTCATGCTACACCGACACAGTTCTTATTCCAACAGGACGAGGTATTCGTTGGTTTATCCCGGTTTAGAAGTCGTAACTCCATAAAACCTTCACTATCCTCGAGACAGGAACACGAGATAAGCAGAAGCTCACTCTGAGAACGGCGACTCATTTCACTTCACATATTCTCTTAACTTAGTTTTATTATCACTGATTACATTACAATTCACAAGACGATTTAATGTCTCATAATTATTATACACATTAGAGGTCACTCCATTAAGATCTGAGACCGATGAGTGAGGATTAACTCACGGGTATTTCCCCTGGACACACACCATGGCCGCGCACCAGTCACTCCCGGTCGAACCATTATTCACTAATTTTACCACCCTTTTACGGTGGGCCCATAAATCACGTTCCCTCACTCTTCACCAGGAACAGCTATGACCCTTCCTATTATGAAGTGAGGCCTATATTAATCCTTAGGCTGCCGTGAACACCAATTTCCTGGTCCCATGTTTTCACAGCCTCCTCACTACATTCAAAACACTCCCGCCTCTCTCTGCCCTGACTCGACCTCTCCCCCCCCCGCACATCCGCGCAGGCGCAGGGCGAACCCGGTTGGTTCTATTCAAAATACAATTTAGAACAACAGTAATGTATTAATCATGTATATTTACATTATAAAAATATATACAGTATAATTATGGGAATTTATTTTCCACAATTATTTTCTCAGTTGTTTGTTGGGTTATCTTATTCAAACTTGGGCAATGTATGATGGAAAGATACTTCCTAAAACGTACACCAAAAATGAAAAAAATCAGACCATAAATAGCGGAGTTCACTTCTCAGCCATTAGCGGCCGCTTAGCGGTATATTTTTCTATGTTTTTTATGGTTATATTCTCATTTTTTCGGTCTCATTTGATAGAATGAAAGATATATTACAGAAATAGATATGATTTTGATTGCTTTCATAACGAAAAGTACCTTGAAATTGCGCTCACAGTAGCGAAAATGTTCTATTCTTTAGCAAAGCTTAAGAGTAAACAAATGACATCACCGTCCAATACCTGTCTGCCTGCCAGTGCAAATTCCAATACGGAGTCAAGAATGGGTTGACATTGTTTATACAATTATTACAATAATGCAGCAGTCTGAATAACAGTAAATCTTCTATTTTTTTGTGAATAAAAATTCCAAATGGTAAGCAAGAGTAATATAAGAGGGGCCTGGACCCATGACTAATGAACAGAGAAAATTTTATTTTAGTGCCAGGAATGTCTGCATTGTTTATTCTGGACCCTATTTTGAAACTGGCATCTGTTGAAAATTGTGTGAAATCGGCCAAATTGCCAATTTCTGACCACTTTATTGGGTAGTTGAAATAAGTGAATGGGCGGTTTCTTGTATTCAGTTGACAGACCAGAAGTAAGTTTATTCAGGTACACACAAATACAGTTACATAGATTATCATACATAGCAGTGTATGTATAGAGAACCTAGGATAACCCAGAAAAGTCAGACAAAGTGACTTATTTCCAGTACCTGGCTTGGGCTTGCCATATATGATTTTTGGTAAATATTTTTTTTTCTTGGTTGTTTGTTGGGCTATCTCATTGAAACTTGGGCAATGTATGATGGAAAGATGCTTCTTAATGTACAACAAAAATAAAAAAGATGGATGATAAATAAGGGAGTTCACTTCTCAGCCATTAGCCCCCTCTTTGCAGTATATTTTCGTATGTTTTTTATGGTTGTATTCTCATTTTTTTGGACTCATTTGATAGAATGGAAGATATATTACAGAAATAGACATGATTTTGATTGCTTTCATGACGAAAAGTACCTTGAAATTGAGCTCAAAGTAGCAGAAATGTTTGATTTTTGTCGATGTTCAATGAACTTTGTGTAAGTCAGGTTGGTTAATTTTATTAAGTGTATTCTAACCTAACCACTCTCTAATCCGGCAAACTCAATAATCCGGCACACTACAGGTCCCAATGATGCAGGATTTGTGATGGAGGACCTGTGCTGCAGTCAGGTGCAAATTCACCTGACTAAAGTATATATATAAAGTTTTTCTCAGTGCACATGCTGTATATTTCTTAAGATTGATGGACTCAACACACTGATTACCTCAAACTCCTCTTCATCTCCCACTGTTCTTCTCTGTATTGGACTGAAAAAGCCACTGGCTAGTGAAACATTTCCACAATAAAGATATCCCAAATGTCAGGAATGTCTGACACACCAACATCTTGGGATCCTGACACGGAATTCTTCACTTGCCTAACCTATAGGCATGACCTACTTCTACCTGTGGATTTGTCCAATGTGATAACACCTATGACTGCTTTACCTCACCTCTCTACAGTACATTAGCCACTTCTTCATGCGTATGCTGTATTCTTTTCAAGACTGGTGGACTGATTACCTCAAACTCCTTCTGATCTTCAGAAGGATGAAGCCACTGTGTGGCAAAACACTTCCTCAATAAAGATACCCAAATGCTGTACATGTGTCAAATTTATCAGAAATTAGGTGACCAACAATATATAACTTAGTCATCAAAAAATGCCACTTTTGAATATCAATAATGAGTCAATATGTCTTAATGACTATATGTAATCTGATTAATTGTACATACAAATTACTTACATGTACTACAATACCTAGACACATAAGCTAACAAAATGTTGATGACTTGCCTCATGTTGTTTGTCAACACTGAAATAGTGCACTTTGTTTTGCTGAAGTATGCTCTCAAAAAAGTTTGCTTTAAATATTGCAAAGGTTTATGGCAGATGAAAAAGGGAGACAGATACTTGATAGCAATGCACCATACACATCTGTTGAATATTTTCTTAATATGGAAATTCACAACTAGCACTGCAGTGCCAATTGTGAATTTTCATATTAGAATGTTCAGGGAGTACAATTACAGTTCAGATTTGTATAGAAATAGAAAAATCTGGTAGAAAAAAAGGAGCACTTCCAAAGTCACTCAAGACATCTGTCACACAGTTAGTTTGCTTTACATCATTCTTAATTGATTTTACTATAGTATGGGGCAACGCTCTCTCTCCATTGGGAATATAACCCTGATAGTATGTCCAAAACTGATTCCTTCTAATTCAGGCTGATGTTTTCAGAAAAAGAAAGGCAGTTGTGTCCAATCCATATTATTCAGACACCACAAGAATGTGTTAATCAAAGTAAGATATTACCACATTTGTTTAAAATATTTTGTATGGTAATACTGTACAACTTGCATCTGGAAATTGTAATGAAATTTCTAAGGAAACAACACAGAGATATGTGGACAAAAAAGTACACAAACAGGTAACTATAAAGAAAAGCAAATTTCATTTTATATAGGTTCTATTTACATCAAAACAGATAAAATATCACAAACCCTTTAGATACTGAACTTACGTTTCATCAAAAATGCTTTGAGCCTGAGCCCAAATATTTTCGAGGTTTTTGTTTTTCAATCCTTGTGAAATTCCATCTCCAGTAATGGAACTTGGGTTTTCATCTGACTCCTTCTTGAATATTGATAAGAGGCAGCTGATTCGGTAGTCCAGTCGCACATTGAGGATAAACTGTAAAAATTATAACTTAAAAATTTATAATTAACATAATTACTGCAAACTATACTGTAAGTTCTCTTATCAAACTTTACAAGTAGGACAGATTTATCACTATCCTTTTCTAATTCTTAGACAAAATTTATACCAATTTAACAGCCTTAGATATTTGCAACAGTCAAAAGAAGTGCTTCATATGCTCTTGAATTTCTTAAAACTGCTTTTGATAGTTGCAACCTCCTTCCCCTCACACTTACTAAATGGTTATATTCACCCTTGCCCTCAAGCTGCATCTATGAAAAATAACAAAAAAAGGCACAATACCGTGACTGGAACGATACACAAATAACCCGCACATAAAAGAGAGAAGCTTACAACGACGTTTTGGTCCGACTTGGACCATTGACAAAGTCACACTAACCAGAGGTGGAGCAGGACGGCTATATATAGGCAGGAAGAGGTGGTGGTAGTAGTAGTAGTAGTAGAAGTAGTAGTACAAGAGTTGTATATAATACCGACAAGATGAAATTAAGACACATGCACAACACCGGGGCATCCCCATCATAGATGTTTCGCCATCCAGCCAGCCACTGGATGGCGAAACGTCCACAACAAAGACAACCAGACGCCGCACATGTGTCTTAATTTCATCAGTAGTTGTAGATCATAGCCATCCTATTGACTGGTCTTCTGCTAAAACTGTCTTCCCTACTTCCAACTCAAACAGTCGCCGTCTAGTTGAATCCTCTCTAATACACAACTTTCCTTGTATGAACCATAGCCCTGGCTTCGTCTCTGTAGATGCCTTCCTCTCCCACTACATTGTAAAATGCTCCAAACTTCAGAACACCCGTGACTTAACCTGAATCCTCATTTTTTCTTTTTCTTTTTCTTCTTCCTCTTCCCCTTTCCTCTTCTCCTCTGGGTTGTCTTTCTCTCTCCTGTCTCGTGTTTCTGTTCCTTCTTCATTTATTTCACCACTTCCCTTTCACGCACCTCTGTGCACTTGCTCTTCCTCTGTGGGCATCTAGCTCTCTTGCAGTGCTCCCCTTCCTTTGTATTTGACTGGCTCGTCTTTTTTATTTCCCACTTCTACCACTACTACTACCTCTTCTTCTTCTACTACTACTACAACTACTGATGAAATTAAGACACATGTGCGGCGTTTGGTTGTCTTTGTTGTGGACGTTTCGCCATCCAGTGGCTGGCTGGATGGTGAAACGTCTATGATGGGGATGCCCCGGTGTTGTGCATGTGTCTTAATTTCATCTTGTCGGTATTATATACAACTCTTGTACTACTACTTCTACTACTACTACTACCACCACCTCTTCCTGCCTATATATAGCCGTCCTGCTCCACCTCTGGTTAATGTGACTTTGTCAATGGTCCAAGTCGGACCGAAACGTCGTCGTAAGCTTCTCTCTTTTATGTGCGGGTTATTTGTGAATGCATCTATGAAAGCAATGAAATTCCTGTCAGTAAGATAGTCGGTAATGCTGATAATGTATCAACTGGCAGTTCGTCAAAAACTTCAATGAAAGGAAATGTGTTGCCTTTAACTCTTTACCTCATCCCCCACTCAAAAAAAAAAAAAATCCTCTGAAATGGTAGAGAATCTTTTTCTGAAGGTAATGACACCAAAAGTACGAAATTTGATGGAAAACTTACAAAACTACACAGGTACAATTTACAATAGGTGCAATTTACACAACAATTTCACCCAGTTTGAGTCCTATTTTAAGCCAATTCCATTGCTCCAATTAATCAAATTCTTAGCTATTTCACTAGTATGCTTTCCATTCTATTGAGTGAGAACAAGAAACTCCCCACTCAATTATTGGAAATGCAGTAGGGACCCACTTATATGGCAGGCTAGGTTCCAGGCTACCACCAGAAAGCAGACATCGCCATTTTTTCACTTATAAATGCATATAAATGCGAGATAATAAGTTTACACTAACATATATTAAGTTAGCAATAAAACTAGGCATTAAAAAACACACACAGTACACTCATTACTTACCTCAAAAGATTTGTAGCCTTAATGTAGGGTGAGAAGTGAATAGTACTTATTTAAAGAAAGTCAGGTGTGGGAGGTATTATAGCCCGCCTGGCCAACCCACTCACATGTAATATACTACAACATTTAAAGTGCCCTGGAGCGATAAAATGCATATACAGTACACTCATTACTTACCTTAAAATATTTGCAGTCTTAATATAGGGTGAGAGGTGAGTATATGATATAAAAACAAATACATGAGAGAGAGTAAATGAGAGAGGACAGATCCACAGAGTATGCAAACAAACAGACAAATGCGTCTGGTTTTGGTTGATACACGTTCATTCCAATGTCTGTGGAGCTTATACCATAATACGAACACCTTACATTGTGTACAAGTTGTCTCCACATTGGTACAGCAGCATAAATAAAAAGCAACACTTCTAGACTCATGTAACACACCATTTTTAGGAGGAATGATGCTCAGAGTGAAGGCATACGAAAAGAATAATTTTCTACAGTTACCCCCAGTAATACTATTGTGCACACATTGTCTTTGGTGCTGAACTACAGAAAACATTATTCTTTCAGACACTCCAACAAGACGAGCGGAAAAACAACATATACTTTTTTTTTAACATGTCAGCCATTTCTCACTGAGGCAGGGTAACCCAAAAGACAGAAAACCCCAGAAAGAAAAAAAAAATTCATTAACATTCAACACTTTCACCATCACTCATACCTAATCAATGTCTTTGCAGAAGCACCCAGATATGACAGTTTAGATAATCACTCCAAACTGTCAATATCCCAAACCCCTCCTTTAAATTGAAACCATTGTACTTCCCATTTCCAGGACTCAAGTCCGGCTAACCGGTTTAGTTGAATCCCTTCACAAAATATTACCCTGCTCACACTCCAACAGCTCGTCAGGTCCCAAAAACCATTCACCTCCATTCACTCCTATATAACACACTCACGCATGCTTGCTGGAAATCCAAGCCCCTCACCCACAAAACCTCCTTTACCCCCTCCCTCCAACCTTTTCGAGGATGACCCCTACCCTGCCTTTCTTCCCACACAGGTTTATACACTCTCCAACACATTCTACTTTGTTCCATTCTCTCTAAATGACCAAACCACCTCAACAACCCCTCTTCAGCCCTCTGACTAATACTTTTAGTAACTCCACACCTCCTCCTAATTTCCACACTACTAATTCTCTGCATAATATTTACACCACACATGCCCCTAGACAGGACATCTGCCTACAACCTACTCCTTGCTGCAGCATTCACAACCCAAGCTTCACACCCATATCAAGTATTGGTACCACTCTACTTTTGCACATTCCCTTCCTTGCCTCCATGGATAACGTGTTTTGTCTCAAAAGATATCCCAATGCACAACTCCCCTTTTTTCCTTCATCAATTCTATGGTTAACCTCATCCTTTGAATTTATGTTAATTTATTCTACTGTTTATATGTTACGTAGCATGTTTATTGTATAATTTCGAAAAAATATCATGGATAGATTAATCAAAATGTCTATATTAACGCAATATACGACATTTAATGCACCTCAGAGTGAGTATTGTGTTATTGTTATTATTATTAATATGGCATCTTCAAGACTAAAAAGACACTCTTAGTGATTTTAACGTGTACCTGCACACCAGCACAGGAAGTTTATTTACATACAGGTACACATAAGTATAATTCTTCTTCTTCCAATAAACCGGCCATATCCCACCAAGGCAGGGTGGCCCAAAGAGAAAAAAGAAAGTTTCCTTTTTTTTTTTTTTATTATCACACTGGCCGATTCCCACCAAGGCAGGGTGGCCCGAAAAAGAAAAACTTTCACCTTCATTCACTCCATCACTGTCTTGCCAGAAGGGTGCTTTACACTACAGTTTTTAAACTGCAACATTAACTCCCCTCCTTCAGAGTGCAGGCACTGTACTTTCCATCTCCAGGGTTCAAGTCCGGCCTGCCGGTTTCCCTGAACCCCTTCATAAATGTTACTTTGCTCACACTCCAACAGCACGTCTAAGTATTAAAAACCATTTGTCTCCATTCACTCCTATCAAACATGCTCATGCATGCCTGCTGGAAGTCCAAGCCCCTCACCCACAAAACCTCCTTTACCCCCTCCCTCCAACCTTTTTCAGGACAACCCCTACCCCGCCTTTCTTCCTCTACAGATTTACACGCTCTCCATGTCATTCTACTTCGATCCATTCTCTCTAAATGACCAAACTAGCTCAACAAGTCCTCTATTTTTATTAACTCCACACCTTCTCCTTATTTCCACACTCTGAATTATCTGCATAATATTTACACCACACATTGCCCTTAAACAGGACATCTCCACTGCCTCCAACTGCCTCCTCACTGCAGCATTTACAACCCAAGCTTCACACCCATATAAGAGTATTGGTACTACTATACTTTCATACATTCCCTTCTTTGCCTCCACAGATAACATTTTTTGTCTCCACATATACCTCAATGCACCAATCACCTTTTTTCCTTCATTAATTCTATGATTAACCTCAACCTTCATAAATCCATCCACTGACACGTCAACTCCCAAATATCTGAAAACATTCACTTCTTCCATACTCCTCCTCCCCAATTTAATATCCAATTTTTTTTATCTAAATCATTTGATACCCTCATCACCTTACTCTTTTCTATTTTCACTTTCAACTTTCTACCTTTACACAAACTCCCAAACTCATCCACTAACCTTCATAATTTTTCTTTAGAATCTCCCATAAGCACAGTATCATCAGCAAAAAGTAACTGTGTCAATTTCCATTTTGTATTTGATTCCCCATAATTTAATCCCACCCCTCTCCCGAACACCCTAGCATTTACTTCTTTTACAACCCCATCTATAAATATATTAAATAACCATGGTGACATTACACATCCCTGTCTAAGACCTACTTTTATAGGTACTCATAAGTATGTAATTATCAGATTACACAAAATACGAAATAAC